CATCGATTCTGTGGTTGCTTCTGATCCGGTGATGGGACAAACACGCCTCCCACTGCTACCAAAAGGGAGTGAACGCCCCAAAAGATTCAGCCCAAAGGAGAGACTCCGTGCCGCCCCAATCGGAGAGGGCCAGGCTGCAGGCAGCACATACAGCACCCAAGGCCAAGGGCTGCCAAGCTTTGCTTCAGGGCACGAAATCCAGAGGGCCAGGAGCGAGTCGGTCCCACGCGAGGACAGCAGCGAGGACAGCACGGCGCTCACTCCTCCATGGTACTTTGCGCCCTCAGGTTCGTCCCTCCGGGTTGCGTTGTTGTCGGTCGCACTCCTTATGTCTGTGCTTTTTTTAAAACGGTTTGATCCCCTCTCCGCGCCCATCCCTCTACCTAAAAAGTGTTGTGGTTCTTTTCTTTTAATTATTTTTAATTTTTTTTAATTTTTTTTTTCTCTCTGCCCAGAAAAAAAAAAAAAAAAAACCTGACTTCGATACCAAAAAAAAAAAACCCCACAAAAAAAAACAAAACGAAACAAACAAACAAAAAAAAAACCCACACACACACAAAAAAACAAAAACCCACACACACACAAAAATCCAACAAACAAAAAACTGCAGAAACTGGGAAAAAAAATAAAAACGAAAAAAAAAACAAAAAAAAAAACCCAAGGGAAAAAAAAAAAAAAATCCACACAAAACTCGACGATTCTTTCAGCTTTATTAACATTTTCCATTGTTTCTTGCGATTTGTGTCTCGTTCTTTGTAGTATTGATGATAACGAACATTTGATAATGAATGTTCTTGTATATTCAGATAAAGGAAAAAAGAAAAAAAACGAAAAAAAAAAAAAAAAAAAAAAAAAAAAAAAAAAAAAACCAGAACCAAAAACGCAGTCTGAATTTAATAGTGTTTATAATAAAAGAATAAAAAATGGCCCTTTTAGCACGCAAAGTGGAGCAGGGGAAGGTCCATCCTTGCTCTTCCTGTGGCAACAAGCGCTTCATTCCTGTATAGTTTATAACATCAGACTACCTACATTCATCTTCTTTTTTTTGTTTTGTTTTGTTTTGTTCTGTTTTGTTTGTTTTTCCCATTTTATTTTATTTTATTTTATTTTTTAGTTTCCTCGCATTTGTGAATTAGTTCCAGAATGCTAGAAAAGTGTAGAGTTGTGCACACTCATTTCTTATTACACAATGTTTAAAAAAGTGACGGTAATTCATTTTGTAAAACTTTAAAGGAAAAAAAAAAAAAAAAGATGGTTGGAATAGTGAGCATTAATAGGTACATTCTAACACTTTATGTTTCTTAACGTTGAGACCCAGAAATTCCTTTTTTTAAAAAGAATTTTGGTTTTTTCTTTGGCGTTATTTGGGGGGGGTGGGGGGTCTTTGATGATGACTTTCTTTTGACCTGTCTGAGATGATGGCCTTGCAGCTTTCCCCTCTTTTTGGCTTCAGAGCTGGGATCCAAATGATGTGAGAAGTGCTAGAGGTGGTTTGGGGGGGGGGAGGGGGTGGTTTCCTTCTCTTCTCCATGGGTTCTCCACCTGTTTGGCCACCCAAGACCTCTTGACGATGGCTTTGGGGTTTAGGGAGTAGATGCCCCAGTGGGATGTGAGGACACAGCCTGCAGTTCTGATGCCTTAGGGTGATGTGCAGCGTTGAGCTGTACGGAAGGGATAGGAAGCCATGAATTCTCCCCCAAACACAAACTGTGGGCTTCAGTGCCCTTATTCTCTGCCCTACATCCCTCCCTCGCCGTCACTCCATGCATCTACTCCAGAGCCCATCTTGGAGGCACCGGTTGACCCAACTCAACCCAAGAGTAAGGGATGGGAAGCAATGGAGGTGCCAACCCCCATGGCCTCCATCCACCTTGAGTGTTGAGTGAGGATGGATCTTACAGGTGCCAGCAAGCCACAGGGCCCTGGGAAAGAACAAGGGATGAGGGAGGGCATGCAGCCAAAGCACCTGCATGGGTCTCCCATCATTGCATGGCTGCAGGTGGGGCTCATGGAGAAGAAATCTCTTCTTCAAAGATGGTTTTCCCCACTCCGCCCCCCCCAAAACACCTGAGCTTCTCACATCACTGAACAGTTTAGGGTTCGGGGCGTTCTTTTTAATCCCGAGGTTTCCTGGAGTCCTTTTTGTTTTCATACACCTTTATTATTATTATTATTATTATTCAGATGATGTAAATCAGATGTTGCCTGGGGGGTTGGTTTTGTTGGTTTGCTTTTTTTGTTCTCCTCGCAGAGCCCTTTCTGTCCCTTGTAAAGATGATGCCGTTGTTCTGAGTTGCTTTTTCTTTTCTCTTTTTTTTCCCCCATCTTTTTTTTTTTTTTTTTTTTTTTTTTCCCCCCCTCTTTTCTTAATGGATTCCAAATATTAAAGGAAAAAAAAAAGAAAAAAAGAAAAAAAAAGACTCTGTTCCGACCTGGTTTTGAAACTTTAAGCTTTTCTGCTTCTGTAAAGAAAAAGGCCTCTGTCTTTCTGATCCCAATTGAGACTTTTATGTTCTATGACGATACTAACAAGGTGTAGGTTTTACAGTTTCCTGATTTGTACTGGTAATGCATATTCCAAATAAATAGTTTCTTTTGTTGCAAAAAAAAAAAAAAAAAAAAAAAAAAATCTTTAAACCAATCCTGGCGTATTTTTTGGGAGTAAAAATTGGGAGCTGGAGGGAGGAGATTTGGGTGCCCAGAGTGAGGCACCACCCCATCCTCATGCCTCATAAGGACAGCTCTGACCCAGGACAGGGGCTTCTGGCACCCCTGCACTGGTGCTGATGGCTGACGGGGGGCTCAGTGTAGCCCCCAGGAGGGTGATTTCCCAGTACCAGGCATTCTAGGAGCAGAGCTAGTGGGATTTGGGAAGCACGGTGGGATGCAGGATGTGGGATGCAGGATTTGCAATATGGGATGCGGTGCAGGATGGGATGCAAGCTGCAGGATGCGGGATGCAGGATTTGCAATATGGGATGCAGGATGGGTGCACTGTGAGGGATACAGGCTGCGGGATGCAGGGTGTGCAACGTGCGATATGGGATGCAGGATGTCAGCCAAAATCCCTACCAGCACAAGGATGCCCGAGCTCTCCTGGCGTCGCTGCCCGCGCTCCCCTGTGGGTTTCTTGTCAATGATTATTCAATCTCCGGCCTGACCTTTCTCTTCTAAATAACACAGCAATATCAGTGCAGGCCAGCCTCCAGCTCCGGCTGCAAATTAACTGTATCGCTGGCTGCAGCAGCCCCTCGGCACCGGTGCTGCAAAACCGCCCCAGGCATTATCTCCCTACAACGGTGCTCTCCTAATACCAGTTTAAATATCATCTTGCTCCCAGCTGTTTCCTTCTAATAACTGCTCATCCCGGCTCCCAGCGCAGAAATGCCAGGTCTCAGTGGGCTCCACCGTGGAAATGGCCCTAAAAAGCCTGGGCTGGGGGTGGCACACACGCTGCTGAATGTCCCCATCCTCATCACAGCCATCGCCTGGCACAGGGCAAGGCGCAGCACTCCCGGTTATCCATAACCCCTCCAAAATACCCGAGTGGTTGGGAGGCATTAAAGTTATAGTTGGCAGTAAAGCCCGTGTCTGTTTGCTGGAGAATTTAATATATTGCGGGAAGTTTCGCCTATAAAAGGTGATTGTTATGTTTTCTCCAGTTCACAGGGAGTCTATAACTTACGGCCTCCATCAACGGGAGTGGGTCTCTCCTGCCAGCCCATCACTCTTTGGGGTAATTCTGCTTTGTAGGGAAATATTTCATGGGAGCTGCAGGCAGAGCCCCGTGTGGGCAGGGGACAATGGTGGCACAATGGGGATGGGGCATAGGGATGGCACTGCCCTCCTCGGGCATCATGAAGGCTGGGACAAACAGGGCAACCCAACCTGCAGGGAGATCCACTGGGAATGTGTGCTATACCTGTTAATTATTGCTAATGAGATTGAGCTTTAATGGCTTTAGAGGGACACAGGAGTGGGATAATAAAGCGTCAGAGCTGATATAGGGGTGAGATGGAGGAGGAGGAGGGCTGGGAGGAAGGAGCCCAATGGGCACAAGGGTGACAAATGGTCTACGCACCTTGTCCTGAGTATTGGGAGCTATCTCCATGTTCTCAGGTCCCCATGGGCCCCTGAAATGTTCCATCTCCACAAAGTCAACCCCATTCACAAGCACCCTGGCAAGGGCAGGGAGCCCAGAGGTGCTTGCAGATCCCAGCTAATTAAAAATGCAAATGAGAGCCAGAGCTCTCGCCTTGCAGAGGTGCAAATTTCGCAGGCTGGCTGCACTCCTCCTGCACAGGAAGGTTTGGGGTGGTCCGTCCTCTGCCTCGACCTCCAGCATGGGCAAAGGAAGGGGGGATAGAAAAACCATACCCATATCACCATGGGCAGAGTCACCCTCAGGGCAGGAGCTGCTTTCAGCACAGAGGGAGTAGGAGGGCTCCTCTGGCCCCTGCCGCATCACGGTGCTGCAAAACCTTTCCCCCCACCCATAAAAAGCCCCCCCGAGCTGGCACAACTGGGGGCTGTCACCACGTGATGCCCGTGGATGTGAATCACAAATGACATTTCATTAACGGCTCAGATAAAGCTGCTTCCCTCTTTCCTGCAATGCCCAAAAGCTTTTGCACGAATGCTTTTCAAAATCCCAGTGCAACAAAATGGAGCTGGGGGGGGAGCTGTGGGTCTCTGTTGCGGGGCAGGACTCACCCTCTACTCTGCCTGGCTTTGGGACAGGGCAACAATGGAAGCAGTACTACCAAGCCATATCAAATGCTTGGCCAGCTGTCCCGAGCTGATGACCCTTGTCACTGTTGCCTGTCTCTGCTGGGAGCATGGGGACACCAAGCCATAGTAACGCTCCTGGTGCCACCAAGCTCCTCTGGGGACTGTCCCAAGGAAGAACACCTCTCAGGGAAGTGGTGGAGTCACCATTCCTGGAGGCATTCAAAAACCATAGAGATGTGGCATTGAAGGACACAGTGGGGATGGGCTGATGGTTGGATTAGATGATCTCAGTGATCTTTCCAACCTTAATGATTTGATGATTCCTGGGGACAAAATCCCTAGCCAGTGGGATGCCCAAACCCCATGGGCAACAGGGGCAGGAGAAAGGTGGACAGAACGTACCCAAATGCTGTTGGGGGAAGAGAAGAGCTCCCCAGCCAAGCACGATGGTGAGCACAGAACTATAGAACCATTCCGGTTGGAATGAGATCACCAGGTCCAACCATAGACCATCTTGTCCAACTCAGCACACCCATGGGCAATACTTGGGTTTAAAGCTTGAGCTCCATATCTCCACACACTGCATCGTGTGGCCACGGATGGCCTTGCCCCCAGAGACGGGCACACAGCTGAGCACCGTTCAGGTCCTGCCCCAGCCAGCTGGGACCTTGGACAACAATCAGAAGGCTCGTGCCCCTTGGGTCCCCGTGGCACCCCAAGCATCCCAGGGATGGGCTCTGCACGGCCACCAGTGTGGCTTTGTGTTGCCCAGCACTGGGGCCTCTGTCAGGGCGAGCGCTGCCTTCCCTGCGACCGCCGTTGACGTTATTCAGCTGGACAGAGGGATGTCTATGCGAATCATTTTCAACGCTATTCCATATTCATAACGGGCTAAATATAGGGGAGCAAAGTGGGACCCGGCGGGCAAAAAGCCCTCCCCGTGGTCAGTGCGGATGACTTCTCTGCCAAGATGAGATGCCAGCACCAGCCCTGCCGCCCCCATGGGCACCGTGAGGCAAAGTCCCACTGCTGGCAGCACTGGGATGCAGAGCAGGTTTGGGGCCCCACTCCTGAGGCCACCTCCCAAGGATGTCTCAGCTGGCCTACTCATTGCAATGGGCAGGAATCCACAGCGCGGCCCAGGAGGGGCCCACCGGCCCCCGGGCACGTTCTTCATTAAGCGAGAAGGTTAATGATTGCAATTATGTAAAAGGCAAGCAGCTAAATGAGTATAAATAAAGCTTTTTCTTGGGTGCGGTGTGGGAGCTCCCAAGGGAAACGGCCTCTTGGGGGTGCAGCTGAAACCGTGCCTGGCATGAGCCACACTGAGAAAAAACACAGCAAAAAGTCAAAGGTTGCCCCGTGTTATGAGAAAAGGCTCCATGGTGGCAGCCCAGGCAAAACTGGTGCTCACCATCCTTAGAAAAAGCCATGACAATATGCAATAATGCCCAACACAGCAAATAGTATTTGCAGTATTATGGGTAACTTGTAAATAAGATGTTGTATGCAGTAAATGACGGTTGGACTTGGTGATGTTAGAGGTCCTTTCCAACCTTAATGATTCTATTATTCTAAATCTGTGTCTCACACAACAAAAACAAGGGGGGTTCTGTTCATGGGCTTGGATTAACATATTTTGGGCAGCTGGTGTAAGAACAGGTAAGTGTGGCTCCTTCCAGCACAAATCCATCAGCCCTCACACTGGGCCCAGTGTGTGCATAGCATGAGTTTGGTGATGAACTCTTGTGCAAAAATGGAGAAATTCAGGCACAAATGCCCAAATCTGCACAGCCAAGCAGGGGGAGGATGGAGAACAGTGTTGATGGGGCAACATTTGAGAACATAGTGCTAGTAGAGAGCTTCAGTGCAGGGTCTGCTGGTGTCCTTGGACCAGCCCTAGCTGATGGCCCCATGGAAAGCTGTGCCCTCCATGGTTTCCCCTTGGGAGAAACTCAGCAACATTATTCCCTTGGGGAAAAAAAAAAAAAGATGTTCTGTGACTCATGGAAAAGGTAGAATAAATTGCAGCCCCCACACTTGAATAGATACGTGGCTATTTTAATAGATGAGGTAATAAATAAACCTGCTCAAGATTTTTCAAGTTTTCATTCATTTTTGATAGAGAGAAATTATTTCCTTTCCTTCATCAAAAAAGAAAACTCAACATTCCCATTGGGAGCAGTCAGATCCCCAGCTTCACCCCACTACCCAAACCACTTTTCCAGCCCCACTGCCTGCAGCCACCATTCAAAACCATTCCGAAACCAGGATGGGAGCTTCCAAAATGCCTTTCAGTTCACCTTTAGGACACATTTAGTAACTCACCTTAATATTGATGCCCTCCTTACACATTGCTGCAGAAGGAATTGAGGCTGTGGCCAGCGTAATGATGTGTTCAATATTAACAGTCTCCCATCTGTCACAGCTCCCTGGCATCCCACCGGGCAGAGAGAGCTCCACTGCCCTCCAATACCACCCAGTGCATGGAGAATGGCTGGGGAAAATCAACAGCTCCTTTTGGAGAGTATCTGAGCGTTGTTTCAAGGCTTAGCCCTGCAGAGGGATGGAACATAGGAAGGTGTCACAAGCAGGCAGCCATGAATGCCATAAAAAAAAGGCTCATTTCACTCAACCCATTGCCCTCCTCCTGCCCGGTTCACCAAGGTGGCTGCTGGCATTGGCCAGACCCTACAGGACTGATAGTTGGTGACCAGAAGACCTGAGTGAAGAGGATAACATGGCAGAAGCCCCTCCAGCTCCATCCTGGAGCATCTGGGGACACAGTTGCTGATCCCATACAAATCCTGGTCACCACGGTGGCCCCAACTCTACCTCTGCCCCAAAGGCCAACCCCTCATAGCTGTGTCAATGCCTTTGTTCCCATTATCAGCCAGGATGATGCCACAAGGTATCCCCAGCACCACGTGGAACCTGACCCACAGCTGCAGGCCCTGGGCAGACGTGGGGCAGAAACTGCATCCCCTGGCATGGCTGCCTGTATGGGGAAGGTGAAGTGAGATAAGAAGAGCTTTTTCTACTTTATCCTTCGTGCTACATGGGCCTTTTCCTCTGGGTAAGCACAAAGTCTGCCTCTTTCCTTGCTATTATTAAAAGTCAGGGCTCCAATCCCTTTGGGAGCAGGGAAGGCAGATAATCCCTTCTCCTCCTGACCTTATTTCTCTCCTCACTTTGCAAGGTTATTGCAACTCCCCAGCAGCGGCTACCCTGCACAATACCACTCCTTCCTCTCAAAAAATAAAAAAATAATTTTAAAAAAATCACATCATTTCCAGCAAACGCACCCTTAAACCACTAAACTCCCACCCAATTCCTCCTTTGTGAGAACAAACAGCTGAAAGCAGTTTACTCTTCCCCAGCACTGCAGACATCTGTCCCTAGGGCTGAAGAGCTGCGTGAGCAGCAGAGAGGGTTTTTGTCTTTGCTCACAAAATGCCCCCAAAATATAGGGTTTATATTCAGCTCGGGGGAGGACGGACCACAAGGAGGGGGCTGCACGGAGCTTCCTTCTGCTTTGGATACACCCTTCCATGGCAGGCTGAGCGCTGGTACCGACACTGCTGTGGGGCTGGGATGTGGCACTGTTGTGTGTGGCTCCAGCAACCTCTAGTGGAAAGCAGACAGAAGCAGCTGCACATAAAGGAAGGGCTTTGCTTATTTACTCCATAACATTTTCCATCCACCTACTTTGAAGCCTCAACACAAGATCGGGCCACGAGATGTGCTTAAGCCCAACGCTTTCGTTGCGAACACGGATACGTGCAGCTAAGGCATAGGATCACAGAATCATCAAGGCTGGAAAGACCTCTAAGATCATCTAGCTCAACCATCAAGCCACACCTGTGATCACTCAGACTGCATCACTCAGTGTGACATCTGCTTTTCCTCTGAGCACTTCCATGCAGAGTGGCTCCCTGAGTAAGGAGCTCTAAGACCCATCTAGCTTGGGAAAACCCTTCAAGTTCACCACATCCAGCCATCAGCCCAACCTACGGAGTCCCATCACCAACCCATGGCCCTTAGTACCATGGCCACACCTCCAAGGAAGGGCAGGCCATTCCAGTGGCTGGCCACTCTCTAAGTATATCTGTCCCAGTTTTGGGTCCTCTTTCTCCTCCAGGAGGACCAGGAACTGCTCACCCCCTAAAGCTCCTTCATGCTGTGCCTGGGTGAGCCCTCTTGCTGTGACCTGAGATGGCTGGATGGATGGAGCTGCTCATTCCACCCAAACCAGAGACTCTCCTCCGTGCCTTTCCTGTTTGAAACCCAGACTAGTACAACTCAAATCCCCCTGAAACATGCTGCAAAAATGGTTAACGAGCTCAAAGTGTCAGGGACAAGTGGGGCTGATGGGAAAGATTAGACATTAATGAGAGCCATCTCCAGAAGCATCCATCACTGCGCTTTCGTGAGTTTCTTAATGCGGTGGGAACTCTGCCATGGCTGGATTCCTTTTATTTAAAGCAAAGATAAAAAGCTGGAGAGGTATTAATATTAATTAAGAGACAGACATTCGCAGAAACTTTCCTTACCCCATGTCACACCCAACTCCCAGCCGCATTTCGGCAAACAACCAGATTTATTCCAGAAAGGACCAAAGCATTCTGCAGCATTTATGAGCCTTTGTCATTCTGCAGGGACTTTTCTCCCAAAGTGCAGAGCAGGAGAGATGAACCCCCATGGAATATCTGAAAGAGGAAAAAAAATCCCACCTCCCATTGCTATTCTTGTGTTGTTTTGGTATCATTCCATAAGGGCTCCCATTGCAACATGGTGCTGGGCTCCGTGCCACCCCTCCAGGTCCTGCCACCAGGGTGAGGTGTCCCATGCATTTCTATAGTCTTGAGCTTGCTCTGAGGCTGCACCACCCATTTTGGATGGGGAACACTGCAGGGACACACATCATCTCCCGTCTCTCCTTGGACTGGGACACGATTATCTTCTCTACCCTATAGTTTCAAGACCACAAACCTTGAACAGCCATTTTTTCTAATGGAAAGTTCCAGTTGGAAATAGCACCCAGTTTTAAACTGGAGTGTTTTCTTAGAGCTACAGCCCTCTGCAGCACCTTCAGCTGCAGAAACGTCTGGGCTTTTCTTAACAACAACACAGTGCAATAGAGGGAAAGGATCATACGTCGGAGGCTGAAACCAGAGGTGCTAAATTCAGAGCAATCCGTGCAAAACCCATCGCAGGGAAGAATCAGGCTGGAAAGTGGATGGCATTGGGATCTCCCTCCTTTGACTGTTGGGTTAGGCAGAGTTTGCTATCGGGCAGCCCGACCCCTGCGCCCCTATCCCTGCCGTTCGGGGCTCGGCCAGCAGAGGGAGAGCCCGGCCCGCAGAGAGGACGGACTCGGGCTCACCGCAGCGACGAGCTGAGATTGAGCAGAGATCATAGAATTTGGTGGAATAGCCCTTAAAGATCACCCACCGAGCACCAATCCCTGCCGCGGCTGGGCTACCGACCACTAAATGCAACCACTCAGCTGCACGGGGCCCTGCTGCAGTCACCCACCGCTCTGCAGGGATGATGCAGCCAAAGGAACAGAGCCCTGTTGCAGACACCCAAACAGGGACGGACCCTCTGCACCCACCCCACTCAGATCATTAATTAGGGATGAGGCAGCTTTGCTCCCTTTCCAATCCTTGCATGGTTGGAGAAGGGCGAGCTGCCTTTAGCTGTGTAGTGCCAGGTTAGTGCCAGCATTGTTTCTTCCTTTGGCTTCAAGTCAGTGTAGTAATGGTGGAAGGGACAAAACCTGGCACATGAGCAGCACAGTGCCTGCACTGCTATGGGCAGCATTGAATCGTTTGAGTTGGAAGGGACTCTTAAAGGCCAGCTGGTCCAACTCCCCTGCAATGAACACCTACAGCTCAGAGCCCCAACCAGCCTGACCTTGGATGCTTGCACAGACCACACATCCACCACCTCTCTTGGCAACCTGCTCACAGGGAACGGGCACCCAATGCCCCAGGGCAACCACTGCACGGTGGTTGTGCTTTGTCCCTCCAAACCTGTCCCTGGTGCCCTGCAGCAGCAATCCTGCACTGCAGGCTGTGAGCACAGACCAGACCCTTCATCCCAAGAGCCACCATTCTTTCCCAAGCAGACACAGAGCAGGCCCCCCCTCCCCCCCCCAGCTCATCTCCCATGTTCAGAGTAAGCCCTGCCTGCAGAACAAGCAGGCATGAGCTCCTCAGTTTGAGCCCTCCTGCAACTCTCCAGCTCCTGTCCATCATCACTGAACTTGTAGGAACTTAATTATCTCTGAGACCTCTCCCACCACCAAACCCAGCCAGGAGCACTCACAAGATAACAAAGGCAATGGACAGGCAGCACACACGAGCACTGTCTCCTCCACCAGCAAGGTCAAAGCCATCACACCCCCGTGCCAAAAATCAAGGGTAGGGAGAACCTTCCCATCCCACAGCCACAAGTGGGAATTGGGGCGAGGACGAGGCAAGGGATGCTGGTGCCGGCCATCAAGCAGCAGGCCGGTAATAACCTCATTATGAGGCTGGAGATGCCGGGAGGGGTGGCGGGAGGGGGGGGGCAGATGCCGTCCTTCTGCCGTCCGCAGCTTGCGGAGCCAGAGAGTTGTCAGCGCGTCTCCTGCCTCTCACCTTGCTTCTCATTAGCTCCCCGCAGCGCTGCCGTGCGGGCAGATGGGGCAGGGCTGTGGCCACAAGCCGCTGCCGGGCTGGGGGCTCACACACCAACCCCCCTCTCCCTATTTCTGGGCTCCGTCTCAGGGTGGAGATGCCCACCCCAGCTGCTTGTCCAAGGCATTAGATTTCTTTGCTCAGCGATCTGCAGGCAGCAAAGCTTCCCTTGCACAGAACAGCCAGGTGACCCCTTCCCCCTCCCCCCCAAGATGAGGATGACATCCTACCATTGCCCTCCCAAAATGGGGTCACTAGTTATCTTGGGGACCGAGGGTGATTTGGGGCAGCCCCAGCCCTACTTCATGCAGGATGATTTATTGCAAGAGCAAGGCAGAGGCATGCTCTGATGGTAACTGCCCCAGAGGGATCAATGGACCATAGCCAGGAGGCACCAGCAAGGAGCAAGGCAGAGGGATGAAGGGCTGCATGGTCAGCAGGTCCAGGAGAGCATGTCCTTGTCACTACCCCAGTGCCCTGCACGCCTCTCATCTTCCCAAGGGGAGACACTTCACTCCATAAGAAGAAAAAGCACAAATCCCTGTATTTACCCATGATGAACAACTCTTCCAGGCTGGATGAATGTTCCCAGCCAGAAATGGCTCATCAGATAGTATGGCATAAGCACCTATTGACTGAGAAGGCTCCCACGTTTATGACTTACTGATAGCCCTGCAGACCAACATCAGCAGGTGTTTCTGCTCCTGAGGGCTCCCAGCAAAGTGGCTTTGGGTCATGCCCTCACCATTCCCATGGGCCCCCAACACCGTGGCCTCGGGTCACATCCTCCTGCTCAGACCATCCAGCCCTTTTGCACTCAGCTTCCCAGCACCACCTGGGTTAGGAGCACCAAAACACTGAGCCAAGATGCTGGGGAAAGGATGGGATTATCCCTCTGAGCCCCAAACCCTACTGGCATCCCACCTCTCCTCCTGAGCCCATCTTTTCCATCCATGCTCCTCAACAGAAAGCTCCAGCTCATTTCCTAATCATAACAATTTCTTCCTCTCCACCAAGATTTCCTAAAGGAAACCAGCACACCAAACCCAGAGCATGTGTGGCAGTTTTTCCTCCTTTTGTCAGCGCAGGCTGCAATTCAAGGGAAGGAGATTTGAAGGCATGTGGTACCTGTGCTCAGCAGAGGGGGTGCGGCTGTGTGTGCAGGCGTACAGAGCTATTAATTAAAATTGCTCAGTCAGATGCTATAGAGAGATTAGTTGTCACATTGTGTTAATGGCAAGCTTGGCAATGCTGTGAGAAGGGGCAGGACTGCCCGCCGTCCCCTCAGCTGTTCAAGTGCCACGTTTATACCCAGCCAGAATGACTAATTGGCAGGTTTTGTCTAACAGAAGCCCCCTCGTTATTGGGAAGGCATCAGCGCCTTAATGAAGGAGAGGCAGGGAGGGGGCACGTGGCACCAACCACTGAGGTCCCATGGGTGGGGACAGCTGCAGCCCCATCCTTGTGGCAAAGGCTCATAGGGAGCTGGAAAAACCCAGAGCCACAAGGTTGCCCAGCACTGGGTGCAGAAAGTGGAATCTTGGATGGAGTCATAAAGCTATTTAGGTGTGCAGCACCCACCAGTCTTTACAAAACACATGCACCTTGAGATTGTGTTCTGGTTTGAGAAGGTGAGTTTTGGAAAAGAGAAAAGTAGAGGAACTGAGGCTGTGGTGTTACCTAGCTCCAGGTGTTTGCATGAGGCTTTCAGTTTGGTGCCCACCAGCCTATTTATCCTAACACAGACCTCACATACCTGTTTCACTGCTGAATAGATGGCTTCTTCACCCCAACTTTGACTCCATTCTGTAGATTCAGGCTTTGCTAGAAGACAGCAGTGAGCATGTGGAAACGATGCCAGGGAACAGCAGCCTTTGACTTGATCAAAATAGTGATGCTTAGGCATCTTACATACACAGTAAAGCTGAAATTCCTGCATTGCTTTAGAGAAGCTCTTCAGCACGACATCATTTGAACTTATAACCATAGCCAGGTGGAGTCACTTCACCCCAAATCAGCCCTGAGCTGCTACAGCTGTTACGGCTGCCCAGCTACATCCTCATGCCATTAGCTCATTATCTCCACCCTGCAGTCATCAGAAGCCCCAGCTGTTTCTCAGCCAGGGCAGAGATATCCCCACCTTCAGCCTGCAAGCTAGCTGTCTGTGTGGAGATGAGGAAGTCAAAAAGATCACCAGCAATGCTGTTTGATCCCTACAGCTGGGTTTGGATAGGGTAGCTTGGTAGCTGGACACACACAAATCCCCCAAACACCATTGTCATTCACACCTTCAGAGATCCTGGCCTAAGTGGCTGTTATAAGGTCATTGAATCATAGAACTATAGAATCATTAAAACTGAAAAAGGTCTCTAAGGTCTAACCCCAACCCATCCTCACCATGCCCACCAACCACATCCCCCAGTGCCACATCCCTGTGGTCCTTGAGCAGTTCCAGGAACAGTAACCCCACCGCCTCCTTGGGCAGCCTGTGCCACTGCATCACCACTCTTTCTGAGAAGTTTTTTTCTGACATTCAACCTAAACCTCCCCTGGAAAGTCATGCAAGACATCTACTTTAGCTCAGTGGTCTATTTGCAGGTTAGCAGTCATCTCGGTGTGTTATTTCCTAGCACAGGTCTAAGATGGTTCACAAAAAAGATCCAAACCTCCTCCATGCACTTTCCTCTCCTCTGTTAACCTGCTGATTTCCTGCTCTTATACCTCCCTTATTCTTTCTTTATCATTTTAATGTCATACTGACCTGAATTTTCCCAAGCAAGGAAAGAAGTGCATTTAGCACACACGCACACAAAAAAAAAAAAATAAATGAAATTTTAAAAAATCCCCCCAAACCAATGTTGAACCCAGTTTTTTCTTCTGTTCTTTACTCCCCACCACAGTCATGCACTGTCATGTCTTGTCCAGCAGTTACCTGTCACAGAAGACACTTTGTTCATGCATTTGAGGCCAACTTCTAATCACTGAATGTAATAGGGCAAGATGAGTGATAGATTGACACAATTAATTTCCATGTTCCCAGTGGTAACATTGATTTTAGGGCACTCAGTCTTTACAAGTCACTGAATGCAAGGGAAAACTTGGCTCTGATATTTTTGGTAGAGGTCAAAAGGATGCTCAGACCTTAGGAGAGCTCAACCATTCAAATACCCTTCAGTGCCTTGACTTCTACCCCACTTGTGCATATCTAGACCTCTCAGTCTCCATTTGCTCGAGAAGAACCTGCTGAGAAGGTTATGTATACACATCTCTCATTTTTACATGAATACTCAAAGCTTTCTTGAGCACATCTACAGATCATGCAGCAGTTGAGTTTCACTGGATGTTGATCTTCTAGCTCTAGAACCACATCCCTTCCACCATGCTCTAATCAGAAACTGATGGTGATCAGCCCTCTGATTTGTCACAGGGGTAGCAAACGTTGTACTTACTCTCACTAGCAGGATGCTTGCCCAACAGATCTGGAAGGACATAGGAGTGCGACAGACAGACGTGAGTGATCCATTAGTGGGTGTCTAGGAGACAACTCCCATCTGGCCTTGACACCACTGGGAGATGCTCAGAGACAGACTCAGAAGGAGCCTGTTTGTGGTTTCATGATTTACAGCAGGTATCCAAACTTCAGATCAACTGACAACAAATAAATGATGGTCCACAGATCCTCAATTCCCCCCCAACACACACAGTCATTGTGGCCTGTATTTATCCAGCCCTTCCTTCCATAAATTCTTATAGAATAGCTTCAATCCCAAATGTGTAAACTTTCCCATGTCCCTCTTTGGTATCTGAGAGACCCACGGTCCCCCTAGCCATTGAACACATGCTGAATTTGCTGTCATTTTACCATATCTCATTTTCTGCACAAACTCATCATGTATCTCATGGTGGAACCACTTCTCTAATAGAGAGCAATAGGGCTTGTTTGCAGTATGGATGTGCATGCAGAGATCCTCCTTCCTACCTCTGTAAAGCAATGACCCCAAGAGAGGAGTCCAGCAAGCTCTGGACACAAAGCATTGAATCCAGCAGCAAACAGAGAAGACAATTGCTCTCACATCTCAGTTGCCTTCTTGGAGTGAAAACCACAACACCCAACACAATGCTGGGCTCACCGACCCGCTCACCACCCTGCGAGGTCCTCAAGGATGCTCCTTACCCCCAGCACACCTGACCTGTCCCTGTGCTGCCCACTCCTGTCCCAACCCTTTCTCCCCACCACTCCTCTATGCCCTGCTGCGGAACAATGCCTGCACTAAGAAACCACCCCGTGAGCAGGCAGCCCTGCTATGCGCGGCATCCCCGCTCGCCAGCCAACCTGGGAGATTCACCTGTGCAGCCCAGACAGTGAAGAATTGTTTGGAGCAAAACACTGTGCAATCAAGTGGAGATAGCAGAGGCAATGGGGTCAGGCAGGCTGCCTGGGGCATCTTTCATCTCCCACGTCGGGAGGTGGGGTGTAAAGTGTGCACTGGCCGGGGCCAGGGCAGGCTGAAAGGCGGCCTTGTTCTGCCAGCTATCTGCCATCTCTCTGATGTCACACGTCGCGTTTGGGCAGCTCACTTCAAAGGCCCCTTTCTGGTGCTCCCTCCCTCCCCTCGCCCCTTTCTCTTTTGGGTTCGGAGTTGGCTGTTTGGGGGGATAATAGCCTGGCTTTCCAAAAAGCATTTGGCTGTGCAATTAAAAAAAAAAAGACACTTGGAGAGCAGCCGCCCAGGTTAACCCAGATTGAGGTAGAGACAAGCAATGGGAAACCAAGGGCTCCCATTCTCTATTCATGCTTAAGCACTCGATGTGTAGCAGCAGATTCAGACCCATCACCCCTGAATTCTACAAGGGCATCCAAGCCCACAGCAACAGGGTGACAGCATCCCTCTCTGCAGCTCTCACTGGGTGCCTGGAGGCACGTCCTGCAGGCAGGAGGCCAAAATAGCAGCACTGCGTTGGCCATGCCAGACAAGACATCTTGCTGGGCTGCAGCCTCTTGTTGAATGATGGTATCTCTGCCAAGCTACACAGATTTGTCCAACGCTGCACAACAGAAAGATGGCATTTCAAAAGGCTAATAAAACTCTGGATCTAAGTTACTTGCTGGGAGGACGTGTGTCCCATTAGGCAAAACCTTGAGAAACCCAAAGGGAACATATTCAGATGCACTCTGGGACAAAGATTCTGGCCAAAAGCTGCTTCCAGTTTTTTGTCTTAAGCATGTAAAAAATTCATGAGCCTTCAACTAAGTATTGGGTGACTTCTGCCCCCTTGATTTTGAGACGTTTGGCAAGGGTAGTTTCAAAGTTTTTTCCACAGCTGGGTCAACTGGATGCTATCCAGTGTAGTAAATATCTTCCTGCTCATTGCCACGCTTCCAAGAGATGGGGATTTAGAAGACAAAAAAGTCTGTGAGGGGAGAAGGGGAGTGGGATTTGAAGGAGGGATGGGGCCCAGCTTAAGCTGCAGCACCATGGAGGTAGTGACATCAGCCCCACCATTGCTGGGGGGTAGAGAAAGTCACCAAGATTTCCTCCTCACTCATAGAACCACAGAATCATTAAGGTTGGGAAAGACCTTTCAGATCACCAGGTCCAACCCCAACACATCCCCACCATTGGCCACATCCCTCAGTGCCAATCTCCACGGTTCTGTAACACCTCCAGGGAAAGTGATTCCATTACTACCCAGGGCAGCTCATGCCAGTGTATGATCACTCTTTCTGAGAATATTTTCTTAGTATCTGGCTTGAACCTCCCTCAGCTGATAATGTTTCAATTATGATGGCAGTAGTAGGGGAAGGTGCATAAACATTTATGCACATACATGAACAACACCAGAACCCCCAGAGGTCACTTCTCCATGTTGGCAGTGGTGGAGGTACCCTTCATAGCAGCCACGTATGCCTTTCGTCCCCAGACCAGGCATCCACAGGAGGATTTAAGGGACTTGCAGAACTTACTGGCAGGTATTAAAAGTTCACTGGGGCTGTAATAGCAATCTGTCAGCCTGCTGCTAATCCTTCTTGACAGAAACTTTATAAGAAGCTGAAGCGTGTTAAATAGTCCTGGAGTTTGAGCAGAGCGAGTTTGAGGAGGGCGGTTTAAAGCCAGGTCTGCTTTCCATAGACCCCAGATCAAGGTTGGGGCTTGACCCCCCTTTAAGGCTCTCCTCGCCTGGAGGAGAAAGAGAAGAGCCCTTCAGAAGGCACTGAGCAGCACTGGAGCATCCACGGGCAGCTGGCATGCACTGGGCGATGCTCCCAGCCGCACAATAGCAGCTCTGTGTGCTCGCAGGACCGTCCGATGCACCTGCGCTCACCTTGGAGTCAGGAATGTGAGTAATTCACATCTGCAAATCCTGGGAAAGCCATTAGCAATGAAACTGGATCCGTTCACCCTGCGAGGGAAATCTGCCCGGGTCCGTGCCGGGCTGTGGTTCTGAGGGTGGTTTAGTTGCCACCGAGCCCTGGCAGAGCTGTGTCACGCATGCAGAGTGGCATCCAGCCCATGGATGCTAACAGATAGGACAACCAGGCGTGTTGTCCTTGGAAAAGTGGCTCATCCAGAACAGTCGACCAGTTACCTCCAGTACACAGCCCAACAGAACACCAGGGCTGCAACCCGCAGGCAGTGAAGGGCAGCTCCCCATCTGTCTCCAACACGGCAGGCTGTGTCAGGGACCGGCAGCTGAGATGCTGCATCCGGTGGGTTCCCACACCACTGAGGCTGTGAACGCATTGCAGGAGCAAGTTTGTGTTGGCACTGCTCTGAATGTTCCCCGCAGTCACCTTGTCCTGGAGCAGATGGCCAAGTTTCATCACTGTCTCTGTATTTTACTGCTGTATTTCCCACGGACTTCCCAAACCTTATGCCTGTTAGTAAAGGATCCTGCTCCCTCAACCTGACATCCATGAAGCAGAAAATG